TTTCTATTGTTTTTTTTTTTTTTTTAATTTATTCGTTTTTTTTTTTTTTAACACTCTTCTTACTTTGTTTATTCTTGGCATTCTCTCCTTGTATTTTCTGTACGCCCGTTTAATGAAAATACTTTGAGATCAAAGAACGATCTGTTTTGATTTAGGCTTTCTAATTTATATATTTTATAGGCCTTGTTCGATTGTCGGAGCTTAAACCTCTTTTCAATGAAGCAAAAGCTCAGCTAATGCTGCAAGTAGAAACGCCTCCGGTTATCTTGCAGGCATTTGATGAAGTTTTAATTCACATTGAATGGGATGATCGTGAATTTCGGTAGTCTTAATGCAAAAAAAGAGTATAAGAACTTTCGTTCACAGGGAGAGACAGACAAGGCATACTGTGTGGTTTAGATTGTAAGAAATTAGAGTTTAGGAGAGGGCAACAAACTAACTGAGGCGGAGTAACTCATACCATTTTTTAAACGGGTTGAGAAAGTGAGAAAAACATACAATTCGCTCGGCCTGTGTGTTCCCTAGTTCATTTTATTTATCCATTTTTATGTCTTTGTTTTTTTGTGTTAAGGAATACCACTGTCTTGAAGTATATCCGCAAAATCGTCTCTCCAAGGAAGTTTGCGTTGGAAGTGTACGAAAGAGAACAAAAGGAAATCAAAGAGCTAATATTTAGTGAAGTAGAAACCTTGAGCTAAAATGGGGCGTATGCATCCGCTAGCTATGCCAGTTGTATGGGTAGACTGCACAATTTTTGTTTGCTTTGCATTTTTCTTGGGGGTGATTGGGTTAAAAATACTTCCTACTTATATATACGCCTGAGCACGTGCGTGCAATATTCACTCTCTGATATCAGTGCTTACAAACCAATTTGGGCATTCTTCAAAATGGATACTCTAATGCCTCTCGTTGCTTCGTACATTTTCCATACTCGTATTCACTTTACCTTCCAATTCTTGCGTATTTGTATGGCAATTCCAAATTTCATGCAAGGCATGCATTAATTTATTAATTGGTAAATGGAAGTCGTTTTTTTTTTAAATATGAAAAAAACTTCTGGATTTCTGCCTGTTCCATGGAATGAATGTGCATTGAAAGAATGCTTTTAATGAAAATTAGAAAATCCCATAGAAAGGCCACAGTAAGCTATAATAGAGAAAAGCAGCATTTATAGTGCATATCTTTGGTTTTTTGAGCGTATGCCTACCCTTATGTTAGGACATTCACCTGATTAGATATCCGATGTAGTTTAAGGCTACTAGCTTGCAAATAAGAAATCTACATGGTAAGTATTTTTAGATTCTGTCAAAAAGAATATGCTAAAAAGCTAATTATTCTGACGGAGTGATGAGAAAAACCTTGGGTTCATTACAACTATTGAGTATAACTTAGAAATGGGTCGAGAAATTTCAAACAGGCACACACATGTAGTAGAATATGGAGAAAGAAGCCAGTGAAGAGAAGACTTGTGTAAAACTCTCGAAGTGAAAGATCTTTGGAACAAAAGAGGCTCTCTTTAAAGAGAGGACTTGATTGAAATTGCACCCTAATAGTAATACGTGATTGGAGAGTTCGAAAAATCAATATGAATCTGAAACGAAGCAAGTACGGAAAATATATTAAGGCAAATATAATGCAGTTTAACAATTGAATAAAATAATTTCCATGCAAAATTCCCCGCAATGAAATGCCAAGAAAGGATATTCAAATGCTAGCAATTAAGCGCATTAAAAGTAAAACCTCAAAAAAAGTCTCATCGAAGTGTTACGTTCGCCTGGTTTTCTTTGTACATTCCACTTTCATTTCCTTCCTCGTCTCTTCTATATGGTACAAATCTCTTTACCAGTTTCACCAACTATTTTCTTTTGCATTAGCTACTATATTTTTATTCTTTAAGCACCTATCACCATATTTTCTTTACTTAGTACTGTAATCACTTGGGTTAATTTTCGCTTTGCGTGCTTACGTGTTGGCATAAACCAGTTTAACAATACCATTGGAAAGCAATAAAAACAGCTCTACTTAGCAATCAAAGCAGCTCAATTTAGGAAAAATAGTGAGATATTTATTTTCAATAATGATACTCACCTACGTGGTTATTCCATCAATCCTAATGATATCAAGATAATCGTTACGGTTCCGGTATGATTGTATTAAAAGAATAAAAACTTCATAGCCAAATAACACTGAAATATAACTCTTTTGAATAACTGCGTTCCGAGTGAACAAGTCAGAACAATCAAGAATAGTTTGTCTTATTCAAATGCAGTAAGCTCAAAAACCTCAACGACCATTAAGCTGAAGTATCGATAAAAAGTCGATTACAAAAATTCTTTAAAAATGTTAGGGAAAGCTTGCAATGGAAAAATATTATTTCACTTACTAGAAAAAAACATTAGCTTTCACGTGTAAGTTTGTGTGCGAAGCAGTTACATTTTGTTAGCTTTTCACCCAAGAGAAGGTCGGCCAAAAGAAGAGGCAAAAAAAGCCGAATGCAGAGGTAGCCCTGTTAACCCATGATGCAAATGCTTCTTCTATTTTAGTCATGCAGCAGCTCAATATATTAGCCCTCGTAGCGCAACCGGATAGCGCGTTGGACTTCTAATCCAAAGGTTGTGGGTTCGAGTCCCGCCGGGGGTATATAGTATTAGCGCAATCGCGTTCACAAATGATATTGTGAAGCGATTCAGTTTGCCATGCCACTTTCAGCGGACGGTAACTTTTTGCATTTATTTTCCTTTTTTGTACGTATACGACCCAATAAACATTTTCAAAATATGCTATTTCTTGCAATGTACATAGCTGTTTTGTATTCTCAGAACTCTGCGTCACATTTGAAAGCGTAGTCAGGATTTCTTTCTCGTTACGATGGTAGAAGTTCACCTCCATAAATAATAAGGGATGCAAGGAGTTATGCAATTTTTTATGCTATAGATAAGAAATTGACGGGAATTTACCATGGTGATCAATCGTTCAGCTGTGAATGTCACCTTAAAATATTCTTAACTGTAAACTGCAAACAAAAAATTTTCGAAGAAATATTCCGTGCATTTCTGTTTGCCTCTCATACTACTTAAAAATTTTGTGGCTTGCCATTAATTACAGAAAATCACTATTTCATAAATTATGTCATACAGATGCAATTAAAAATACTCTATTAGTACCACTTCTCTGGTTTTTATATAGGAACTACCAAGAAAATTTGATGAAAACTCATGCTTCGTGATCCGCTTACTCAGCTTTATAAAAACGATTCATACTGCGATTTTCGTTTAATTTAGAGAAAGAAAGCATTATCATAGTTTATAATAGTTAACATTCAGAAGTGCTAGAAATAGATAAGTGAAATATGGAAGCAACCGATTTCGAAGGTAGGAAGGAGTTTTCTGAGAGCGCGCTTCAAAACAAAAACGGATCGCGCCGCCAAAATAAACGAAAACAGTGGTTCTTGCAAGAAAATTCTTTATTACCAAGTGGTACTCAAGCGTTGCTGACGAGTAAAGAACTTGCCAATCACATTGGAACTGTCGTATCTTCAAATGAGAAAGAGCGAGTACTTCTCCGCCTTCTTCGACATGAAGAGCCTACTTTTCCGGCGGCATCTCAGTCTACGGATCAAGCTTTAAATGGGATATTACGTAGCGGTTCATTAGGTGATAAATTGGTGTTGGTCAATAGAGATAACGTTCACCCCACTCGATGTGATTACCTTGGAAGGTGAAAATAATTTTCATGCCATACACCTCTCTACAAGCGCTACCTACTCCTCTTTTACTAACAAACTGTGACTGGAAATTGCTTATATAGTTTAGTTTGTCATACTTTTTGTAAAACATCTTCTGCAAAGCTCGTTATACTTATTGCATTATATCGTCAGATCCTCAGAGACTTTAAGAAATACTTTTGAAGATATTCTTAACTTGGAAGGGAATGATGAAATGGTTTTGTTGCATATTCTCAAAAGGAGATACTTAAAACAAAAATACTGTACATTTTGTGGGAAACTTCTTATTTTCATACTGTCAGCCAAACATACTGAAAAGCGATTCAATGCTTTCATGTCGAAAAATATGCAACTACGCCACTGTAGTGAACCAGTAGAGGAGTTGGAACCTCATCCTTACGTAGTCGCAATCCGAGCATATAATTCTCTAACTTCAAAAGGTAGAAACCAATTAATCATGATTTATGGAGAAATGGGAACTTTCCAGCAAGAAATGACTTTGTCGATGATGCATTTCCTCATTCAATTTTCAGCACAAGAGCAGGTGAAATAAAACTATACGACTTATAAACCATGCATGTTTCCTGCACCGGTCGCATTAAAATACTGCATTTCAATTTTTTTGTTTAATTTTACTAGGTAAAATTAAACAATCGAACATTTTGCGAAACACTAGAAAGTGCCCACCGAGTGTTTGCGGCGTTATCGATATACGATGAGGATGCAAAGATTGGTCGGAGCACACAATGTTATAATCGCTTGGCATACGATGCCCAAGGAAGTCTTCGGGGATGCAGTTTTTTCCTCGATGTATCATACGAAGAGAAGATGTAAGAAATATATCAACTAAAATTATGGTTTAAGTGAAAACATTTCTACTCTGAAAACGATATGCAATTAAATGTTCTAACTTAAGGAGGCTATAATTTAAGCTATTTTGCAACCGTTATTGTGTCTAGATAAATTATTAGTTCAAAAGCTCGAATCTTAAAAATACACTGATAGCCTACGTAAAAAGACTGCAAAAGAGATGTTGTTTCTGCCAAAATTATATGCAGTGAGATAGTAGCTCATCAATGCAGACGTCAAGTTGCAGCATCTCCATTACCAAGCATATTCTACTTTCTGTTATATGGCATTCACAAAGAAGCACATCATCCACTTTTTGAAGAATGTTGCCTTCAACCTGTCGATGCAACTGAATTACTAAAACTCATTCCAGCATCCAGTATTCCGATGGAATCAGTGCATCACAAGGCTTGTTTAGCGGTATCATGTGTAATGTAAAACTTACGATGCCAAACTATTAACTGCAGCACATAGTTGAAATAAACATCATTTTAAGGATATGAGGATTTTCATGCAATTCTGTTTTAATTAGCTTTTTAATGGGCTTTTACGTTGTTAATTACGCGTATAGTTTCTTGGAGATTTAACTGCACTAGGGTTAACTGATACAGAAATCAAACAATTTGTGCGTCTAGCCTGCGGAATACTTGTTGTTGGTAGGTAGTTTCTCTCTTTGTTACGTTCGATGTCTTCAATTCTGAGAAACTCTAAAACGTTTTGTTTCCATAAAGATGCTTATTCCTATTTGAAAAAACTTCGAAGACATGGGCTTCTCAGTGAAGATATGGTCAACACAGTTCAAACTATAGTGCATGGTCCAACGGGGGCACACTTAGCGGAACAAGAGATGCTTCGTCTTGCCGGTCAAGATATTCTCACCCTGGTAATGTAGACGTTGTAATGTGGTTTTTTGTAAAGAACTTAATTGCTAATTTAAAAAGAAATGCTTTTCTTTAATCAGATTGCAAATATTCTGGGTGTTAATCTTGAGGGATTGTTGAATTGCCTAGAAATTCAGGTGTTTCTACTTGAGCAATTGTCTGTAAAGCTCTACATTCGTTTGTTTTGTTGGCTCCAAGAAAAAATTAATACATTTTTTAAGACGCATGAGGACTCTTCAACATTGAGGTATGGCTACTTACAAGCATAGGTAATGAATTTTTTTTGCCATACTTTTCGGATACTTTACCTTTTGGCATGTTTTTTGTTTGTTCGGCAGATTCATAGACATATATTGTAATGCTGGATACGATTTTGAAGTAGCATCTCCCTCGAAGTCACTGTTGCAACTCATTCGAAATATGCAAGAAGATTATTTTCTGAAAATTTATTCAATCATGGCTTTTGAATTAGGTAACAGCCATGTAAAATATTTTTCTTTTCTATGAAACATTTTGAATATGGTTTCAAATGGTTATCTTGGGTTAAACCAGATGAAGGACTTCATAGAATGGAAGGTGTAAGTTTTCCCGAATATGGCCCAAAAATAGCTTGCAAGTTTGCGCAATCGGATATAGTTGAAAGGCATCTCTGGCCTTTATTGGTACAATTGAGGGCTAAATACGAAGGTTCTTCAACTCTTTTGATGAACGATAGCTCCATAGGGGATGAAGTGGCTATGCACATGCAGAAATTGTGTCAAACCGTCGGTGAAGATCAGGTGAAGACAGAAGTCGAGTGCATATGCAACCATTTCTTGTAATTACCTCTTAAATTACTCGCAAGTTAATGAACATCTATTACAGTTAAATGCACCAGCAAAAGCTTTTGGTAAGGTGGAAATTCGTACGGATGCTGCAGGTAAATTACAACAGCTTACGATCTTCATAGTAGTAGTGACAAAAGTTTGTCAACTTTAATATTTCAACTTTAGTAGGAAAACTGCACAAAATTGTCACATTATTTACCGCTTTATTGTTATTACAGAGAAGAGAAAGTTTGTTGTGAAGCATGCTCTAGGTAGTGTGCAATACGATACATCACAATTCGTTTTGCAAAATCTCTCTCTGGCTTTCCACAATGGTATTTAAAGTCCCATCAAATGCTTTTTTGATGATAGTAAATATGAATTTATATTACTTGCTTTAATAACAGGCTTGTTCGTACAACAAGTCTCATCAACACATTCAATTGTATGTGATTTCTAGTCTTGCTGGAGCTATTATCATCAACTTCTGTTCCACTTCTCCAACAATTGTTGGACGGAGATTCTAAGATTATCATTGAAAATACAACGTTACGTAGTGAGCTGGCCGAAAAAGTTAATATTAAAAAAAACAAGTGGCTTACTAGCTTGAAGGTTGGTGAGTTTTGCTCAAAATCAATTTTGATTAAAGCACGAAAGCAATATTATTGAGAAACAAATCAAGCTAAAGGAAGCAAATACAAAAGCTCCCGTCGAAATTTATTGCTGCTCCTTTTACATTGAAACTACATCATTGCATAGGAACGACCAATTTTTCATTGCATTGCAATTATCCTTTCAAAAGGGAAACAAAAACATACTGACGCTCAGCAACCGCGTGCAGAAAATGAAAGCTTAAACAAAGAGGCTCATATCCCATGTGACGAAGAGACTATAAAGAGTGAAGAACATTCTAATTCTAAACCATCTATAAAGAGTGAAGAACATTCTAATTCTAAAGCATCCCAGCATGAAATAGTTCCTTACAATTCTACACTTGAGCCTGAACTAGAAGAAATTAATATTTTCCATGTCGGGAAAATGCTGGGGTTCATGCACATAATGGTACGTACGTATCGCATATATTCCAAAACACATTGATAATAAAAAGCAGTTGTAATTGACAACCCTGGTTTCAGAAAAGAATTATTTATTCTATTTGCTTCAAGATTGTGTAACTAGAATATTGGATATAATTCCTAGTATATAAATGAGTTTTGTATTATGCCAAAACCTGACCAGCTTCCGTATTGCTTTACTTTTTATTGATTTTTTTTTCTTTCTAAAGTCCCTGTTATATTGTGATTTACAGGACTTGTGTTTTTTTCAACAGAAGATAATGACTACTCGGTTCACATTTGAACAATTTATTTCTCTATACTC